CCCCCCGCGAATACAGAATTGACCAGTGTCCTTTTGCAGTGTCGCGACGTGGAGTCGTCTTCTTTCGCGGCCAGACTGAAATGACGAATGACATCCAGAAGCATATGATCCAGCGCATGGGAGAACTCGCGGGAAAGCCCAAGGAATCAACCCTGCACATCCATCCCGTGCTCAACCCCCAGCGAGCCATGGGTGGTGACGATCTACACATCAGCACCATGAACTCCCGCCAGAGGAAACTTGTCAATGGCAAGTCGACGCCGCGCGACCTGGGAGACGAGAGACAAGTGTTTGAGTCGTGGCACAGCGACATTCAGTCTGAGCAAGTTCCATCCGACTACACCTGCTTGCGACTCGTTGAACTGCCCGAGATTGGAGGAGGTATGTCTGGCCTTCAACTACATTCCCGCCCTCGATCCTGACCAACTCGATGTAGATACGCTCTGGGCATCCGGGTATGAGATCTACGACCGCCTCAGCGAGCCGATGCGCAAGTTCCTTGAACAACACACAGCAAACTACACTGCGCCCTGTAAGCCGAGCATCACAGGGATCCAGGACCCCGATGGGAGCTAACACGTGCATATGCAGTCTTTGATCGAATCATCAAGAACGCACACATCAAAACATATACAGACGCACGTGGACACCCTGAAAACACCGGCCACCCCCTCAAGGCTGTGCACCCGGTCATCCGCACCAACCCCGTGACGGGCTGGAAGAGCGTCTTCGCCATCGGCGCATACGTACGTGTGTCCCAGCAAACCCCATGCACACAAAAGCCCACTGCAGCGAAGTACTAACCAAACACCAAAACAAAAAACAGCCCGCATCCATCAACGGCTTGACGCCCCCAGAGAGCGAAATGATCCTAGACTGGCTCCGGAAAATTGTGCTCCGCAACCACGATCTGCAGTGCCGATTCAGGTGGCAGGGTCCCGGTGACATGGGTATGCTGTTTCTTTTTTTTCTGCTCTTATTTCTTGATTATCCCCTACCTACGTACAGTCACAACTGCATACCATTGCACTCTTCACATCCTTGCACGCGGAACCGGCTTCAAACTAACGCGTTGAAAACAGCTATCTGGGATAACCGCAGCATGCTCCACAATGCCACGACCGACTACGATGATTTGGGCGAGCGCTTCGGACACCGCGTGTGCGGCATCGGCGAGAAGCCCTACCTCGATCCTAACAGCAAGTCGATGCGCGAGGCACTGGCCGAGGAAGGAGAAGTCGTTCCTTAAACGGTGGGCCGGTACACCTTTAAAAAAAATTCTTTTAATCGTCCTCCTTTTTTTGTCCAGCACCACGTGGTGGATTTTCTTTGGTTTGTACGACAGAAAAAGGGGAGAAGAAGCGTGTGTGTGTGTTTTGTTGTCATTGCGTAATGCTTAGTGTGACGAACTGTAGTATTAGTGTTTGTTAGTAGTATCCAAAAAATCCATTCCCTCTTTATTTATTTTTTCTCTTTTGTATTTTTTTTTTAGTCTTTTTCATTTTTGATTTTCTCCGCGAAATGCTACAGTACCCCTTTTTTTGGGGGGGGGGGGGGGTTTCCAAACAAGTGATGTTTAACCTACTGACTGCAGCGGACATGAGAACTCGGAAAAGTCCACAAAAGAAGAGACAGATAGTGCCTATAACGTCATGTCTATGGGAACTGAAACCGCGGCAATCTCAACAGACACGGCATTTGTCTTGGGAGTGGATTCTCACGTGCTGAACATGGCGGATATGGAAAACCTAGTCAAGTACCCAAGATGTGATAGTACGTAGTTAGTGCCTATAACACCATGTTTATCTTGATAATTAATTGAAGCAGCGGCAATCAACACTCGCTTCGGCACAGCTTACTTACGATACTCCTCAACAGCTACACTATGTACAACCAGCAACCGCCTGCGTTGAACAATCAACATGATACACCCCAGTGTTCCATCCTCACAACCATACCCTCATCAATCAAACTTGGCAATTTTTTATTCGCACTCGCGCTCTTTTCCAATGTAGGTATAAATCGCGAGCCTAGTAATGATACCAAGAACGATTCCTCGGCTTATTTTTCTTCTCTCTGTTTCTCTCTCTCTCTATTAATGCAGCGAAAAGACGGCACGTAGTATTATAGCTCACAAGCATATATGATAACACTGATATTTCGTATAATAATAGTTTACGCTCTAGTGTTTTACCAGAAAGAAAGAGAGACATAGTAAGAGAGACAGATAGATAAATAGATAGACAGAAAGTGTGGAACGTTGAACTGTAACCCAAGTCGTTAGCCATTTGTTGGGGCTCTCGTCCCGCTAGCGCCAGCCTCCGATTGGCTTGTCGCGCGAGGATTGCTAACTAAGCTAAGTATTGCTAACGTGTTTTATCAGTAAGCGGCCCACATCAGTAAGTGGCCCACCCCACCAAACC